GAGGGAGGGAGGGAGGGAGAATTGTGTAGAAATTCTTCCTTGAATTTGCTGTTTCTGGAAATTATCAGTGTATGCTTTCAAAAGAGGTTGGATGTGACACACTGGCTGTGTTGGATATGGTACTACAAGAGCAAACTAAACTTAATCCCATACTTTTGGAGTGGTCCATATTTTTGGAGAGCACAAAGATTCTCCTTCTGGTTCTAGATTAATCACAGTCTACTGCAGGGTTTCTCAACCTTGGCAACTTTAAGATGTGTGGACTTCAACTTCCAGAATTCCCCAACCAGCATATGCTTCTGGCTTCATCACTTCTGACTTTCTGAAGATCCCTCAAAATCTGGTTGTGCCATCAGGCCTGGGGACCCCAGGAGACCGTGAATTATTGAGGTGTGGCTATACTATTATTAACATCACTTTGCCCAATAGTTCTTCTCTTTTAGCTTGCTTTTTACAATTTTTAATGTTTTTAATACTATTAATTATTATTATTATTTGGTATTTATTTACTAATTGTTTTTAGCCTTGTTGTATGCTACCCAGAGTCACATGTTTTTGAGATGGGCAGCTACATAAATTTGAAAAATAAATAAATAATTCATTTTTGTGTTTCAATTTTTTTAAAAAAATCCATTTCTTTCAAACCAGTTTGTACTGTATATTTAAGTCCGTTATTACAAAAACTGAACCAAACAAATTATTACCTATCTGTGTTCAACTAGACCATATTGTATCTCCTGCTGTGTTATTTAGCATCGCCATGCAGTTGTTGGTGCACAAATGCAAACTGTGAAATTCCTGCACCTAATGGGGCTTTAGTTCTGCAAGCAACATCCATACAGAGAGTAATTAATTTATTTCAGCTGAAAAACAGCTCTCCACTGAAATACTGGGAATAACTGGTTATCTGAGGAACCGCCTCGGCCCGGTCATCTCAGCCCGCCCCACTCGGTCCAGCAGAAGGGGCAGGCTGCAGACCCCACCAGTCAAGGAATTTCGATTGGTGGGGTCTAGGCAGAGAGCCTTTTCTGCTGCAGCGCCCGCCCTATGGAACATCCT